GGCCAACGAAACTCGATTTATCATCGCTCGGTGGTACTGTTCAATTATCGAAGACTTACCTTACTGCATTTTTTGAGGTAGATACTTTATAAACTCATAGGGAAATGAAACAGTGTGGAACATTTTTTTGCGGGATATCAAAATTTGCTACGGCATACTTGAATTGGAAAACTCACCAAGAAGTTTCAATAAGAAATCTCGTTTGTCTTCACCCGCTGGATTTCTCGCTATGCACGTATACCGATCAGCATGTATCTGCAAATACTTTTAAGGGACTTCCGAAGGATTGCGAGAAATCCAAAACGTCATGTAAGCCAGAGGATGGAGGAGTTTGAAACGTTATTAGTAATGCAAGATTCAAGGTTCAAAATGATCAAAGTGATGAATTCGTAAACACTGAATAACTAATTCTCATTTGTAGATCAATCAACAGAACAATTCTGAATATCAGCGAACTGCTCAACAGATAATAACTGACAACAGTGACACTAATAAAGGCGATACGAATCCATGGGCGCGTTACAGGTTTCATCAACACCTACAGAATATTTAGTGGAATATTACGATAGATAATTTCAACGTACCTTTTTTAGATCTAAGAAATGTAGCTTCATACCGTTCGCCGATAGATAAACATCTTGGGAGTAGTCCAATGGGCGACCTGCTTTCAGCCATGTTACAGTTGGCATTGGACGACCATAAGCAGGACAGCTGATCGTCACTGTACTCTTTGATTTACCACCAATTTCTGATGGTACTCCTTCGCGTTCGATTCTCGGCGGAGCTGAGAGTTCAGTCAACTTGTTCAGTCAATAAATGAGAGCTGGATCATTAGAGCATCAACAAAACTTATTCATCTTCACAATCCATCAAATGACAAGAATGTGAATACAAATAGAAGAATATAATACATAGAAATATTTCTTACTCATTACGGAGAGCAACACATCCTGTTCGGCCATACCAGCTTTATTCTTAGCCTCACATGTGAATCGGCCACCGTCGGATACCTAAAACAACAAGATTAAAAGGAATAATGTCAGTAAACAGTGCTTTTGCGTGATTTGTCATGANACGTCGTGTGATGTTTTGCTGTGTTAACAGTTCACCATCTTTGTACCAATCAATCGTTGGCTCCGGTTTCCCAGTAGCTGGACAACTCAACAGAATGACATCGTTCTCGGTTACGGTCCTTAAATGCAAATCAATTGTGTGACTGTTTCAGTAGCGTGATACACTTCAAAGTGAACACACATAAAACCGCTTGATTGGAAGACAGTAAAAATAAAACAATACGCACTTGTTTTTGTTCTTGTCCAGCATAATGATCTCTGGCGGTACTAACACAACCAATTTGTAGTCAACGTGACTTTCGCCTGCCGCATT